TTTTGTAAAAATCATAAATATCTCTTTTATTAACCGATATTATAACCCTTGGCTTCTTTTCGGTTTTTGATACTCCAATCTGAAGCCACCCGTATTTTTCAATGACTAGATTAGCTCCTCTACTCAAAGCATTTTCATCATCGATAGAATGGGATTCTTGTTTTACTGGCTCCTCAGAGGAAAAGGTTCGTGGCCAGATTACGAATAATTCTCTTTAGGCTGAACCAGATAATCATCTAGATTTTTAAATCCGTTTTTAACAGAAGAAAATAGCAGGTCTTTTTATATGACCTTCCTTCGCTGATCCTAGAAGCCGAAGATTGAAATGTGTTTTGGGAAGGCCAATATCAATAAATTTCGAATAAGGTTCTCCAACCAATTCCATAACTTTTCCTGTAAACCCCTTAAGTTCTCTATAATCTATGAATCGGGCACGAGGATAAATAATATGCCAACTACATTTCTCAGCATTTGATGAACTAGCTAAGGCAAAAGAATTTAAGAAAGGCATATAATCGGGAATAAGGCTTAATGCATCTGCACAAGCGACTAAAATTAGAGATATCAAATCTTCTCGGGTAATTTTTTCACCATCTAAAGAAGGCACTTTAGGATTTGTAGGATCGGGCTTTTGCCTTGCATCAATATCGATAATTAAGCGGAGGGGCTGGTTTCCATCAATACATTCGTGAGTATCAGGTATTCTATAAACTTTGCTAGAATGATCGATTACTGTATAACCTTTTCCTGCCATCCGAATTATATATTGAGAATGAATCTCCTCAGGTCGATATGCATCTAAAAGTGCAGTATCATTTTTATCAGTATGGCCTTTGGATGCAAGCCATTATTTATAAAATGTATGTTCTTTATGGCTGAGTTTATAATCAAGATCTGTTAAACCCATAAAAAGTAGTTTTGCTTCATTATATTCGGTTGACTTTTGATTTAAGCACTGTTGTTGTAGGCTCAAAGAGCTATGACCCTTTGGGGTCGCCCCTTCAGGCCTGCTCGGCAATAATGTTTCACGAAGCCGTTTTTTTGCTTCACTAGACAAACTCATTTATTGATTTGTATATGTGTTATTTGTATATATGCGTTGTTTGATCTGACAAAAAGTATATGTTTTTGAAATTATAATAATTGATAGATAAATCTTTAAAATAAAATTAATTATTCCGAATCACGATGGCATTATACCATTGCTCATATATTCATAGAACTGGAAAAATCTGTGGTCGACATAGTAAATCAGAAAGATGTTATATTCATCGTAACTCTCCAATACCTACTCCTTGTAGAGATTGTGGTGAGTCAAATAGGTCTAAATACAATGCATGCTATAAACATGTAGGCAAATATAAAAGTAAAGAGAATTATCACAGAAAAAAGCAGGATGAATTACGTGCAAAAATTGTTGTGCTTGAGAGTCATATACCCGACTTACCCGATTCTAGATATGAAGTATAATCATATGCTTGCCATATACCGATTATTTTTTCCAGGACTCCCACCTTCTCGCAGTAACTGCTCGAAGCCAGAAAAAGGTAGATAGCATATATTTTATTCATAACATATATATTTTTTTTGAGACAAAGAGGAAAAAAGGGGCCACGGATTCCAAGACTTTATTTCGGGAGAAATAGCACTTTGTGCCTGATCGATCTTGTGTCTTATTCGCGTCCATTTCCGGTAGAATTATAATAATCACGACGTATTCAATTTTTTAGGCAAATATTAGAGATTCTGACCGAGATAATTAATTTTGATTTGAAAAAGTATTTTCCATAGTTATAGTCCACAAATCTATCCCATTAACATCATGTCGAGAATTGCAACAAGATATATAGAAGATTATAATTTAACCCCCAAAATGAGCATAGCTGAACTAGGAAATTATGCTGAAGGATTGGTTAAAAATTTGAAAGATGCAAAGGCCCGTGATCATGCACGAAATCGATTCCAGAAATTAGGATTTAGTAATGATCAAACATATTCTTTAATTCCTATCCAAACTTCTGGAAGACGCGTTACGGGTAGAGATCCAGTTAAAAAACTTGCTTTGTATATTAAAGAGAATGAAGATAATCTTGAAGCCGAAGAAATAAATGAACTAGCCTATAATTTGGCAAAAACAGGACCTACTGTCATAGCCCAATCTTCACTTCTTAAATTACTTCGAAAAAAATTACTCCAACTCAATGCCAAATACCTTACATTAGAAGCTACATATGTCTCAGCCATTACTCATGCATCAAATAAAGAACAAGGAAGAAGACAAGAGCTTCGTGAAGATGAGGGATTTGATTGTCCTGAATTCTTTATTCTAGAAAAAGTACAGAGGCGTCTTCAAAAATGTGATACAGCTAACCCCCCCCACAATGCAAAATTTAATCGATTTAATGGTAATGCTATGTATGAGGCCAGCAGATGTGAGAAATCTTCATATAGAGCAGTATAATTCAAATAATTCTGAA